TTGTTGATGTTGATTGGTCGATGGCTGAAAAAAGGGGGGATGAAGCACGCACAAGGTCACCTACCTGTCACAGACAAAAAACAAGCAGTTTTCGGGTGGCTCGAGAACTTCGACAACATCAAAGTTTGCGCCACAGTTTATCAGGACAACCCTGTCAAACTGGTGATTAGTGAAAGCTAGATGAAGGTATATGGAAACCAACCCTGTTCTTGTTGATTTTGAACTGTGAGCAGAGAGACGTCTTCCCAGTGACCACAATTAGAGTATAAAGGACTTGGCCCTGACGAAATATGTGCTAGGTACGAAGGCAAAGTAATCAAAAAGCGACTGCTTACCCGAAGTATTCGCCATGCGCAAACACCATCCACGTCAGGGGTCACGAAAACAAGGACGTGCTATACAAAAAGAAGCGTAAAAAGGAGACGAGGACATTTACCTCTTGGGTTATCTGTTTGTAGAATCCACTACGCAGATCGGAGAGTATACCCATGAGCCTAATTCATGCGTAGAACTGGGGAGGAGGGTTGTGATGGCAGAAGCTGGCTAAAGTAGGAAAGAGAGACAAACTTGGAGTGAAAAATTGCAGCAAAAAAGGATGGGGTCCATGACTAAACAGGAAGACGGTTCAGATCACAAAGGCCTCAAAATACTGAAAAGCATTTGCTTGCAAATGGACACAAGAATTGGAACAAGAACTTTTTTCACTTGATGTTTCGGATTCATGTTAGAACTCATTCGATACATCATCAGAGAAGGGAGACCTATACAGTGGCAGTAGCAGTGTTCATCGGACGCAGTCGCTATGCCTCTGCATACCTATGACAATTAACAGTCCGCCTTAATCGAGGAGCGCTTTCTAGTGCGAAAGTGGCTTGGTAGCCGGCAGTGTTATGCGTTCGCGCAGTATCGAGGACGGGGAGGCAAGATACATGTAGTAACCTACTAACACCTCTTAGTAGCCACCCAGAAAACGTGTGACCAGCAGGTTTCGACTTGGCCAGCGATTCGAGGGGAGTGATCAACTTTTCATAAGCAACACATGGTTCAGCTGTCAGAGAACATCTGCTGGCATGGCATTTCCATACATAAAGATATTTACTCAACCTGTCAGAAAGATACGAACCTCGTGTAGGCTGAGCCGGTTCGATGGCCGATCTGGTGGGAACTGGAGCGTTTAATCCCTAGAGACAACCTAGCCAACCTCGGGTACCTAATGGGTAGGCAATCGGTGGATACTGCTGACACTATCGGGGTGTGAAACCTTACAGCTTAACAGACTGACTACCCTATGGAATGCAGCAAACTGTGGCGATGATACCGTGCTCTGGGTCGAATAAACAGCTAAAAGCATGCAGAACCTAAATTGTCAAAACCCTCAATTATGTGTAACTTCATAAGTTCGTAAGTGTTGTTCTTCACTAATGTTACGACGTTCGTCTGTTTGAACTAAAAAAACATCTAAAACTGTATTGCGTAAAAAGCATTGTCTTGTTATTGTCTTTTGACGCAGTACAACACTGGTTTGTTATTATAAGGTCAGTTATTCGGGTGGTTGTTGGTTCAGTATGAAGCTGCAAATCTCAACGAGTGTTTCACTTTCGAAAATAGTAACACTACTGAAATACATAAGAGATACATTGATGAGACTGCTCTTCACCACAAACCCAAAGTTCCTGCTCCTTCGCAATTGACATTTCAACTGTCCCAAGCGATGACGTCAACTGCGCGTAACACGGATTGGGTACATCACCGGTGACTTGTGCGTGAAATCAGTCAAAGAGGAGCAGATTTGTGCAGCATCTATCGCGCCAACACTTCCCTTAACCACCGATCAGCGTTTTGGTCGAGCGTATCTGCAGCAGAATCAGTTCTAGAGTGTACGCAATTCCCTAATCACACTATGAGTTTTCATAGGTAGCAACCTGTCACGGAAGTATCTACTCCATTGTCTGGTACTAGAGCTCAAATATCAAATGATGGGGATACACCTCAAGATTCTGAAAGGCGATAGGTTCTGACCTGAACTCGTGTGGATAACTTAAAATTATGTCATTTCGCTGTGTGCACGCCCTCTATGTAGTCCCTTTTAGACTGCCAGGCATGTATTTGTTCCTGTATAACAATTACTTTCGTCTACCCAGTAAAGTTATATAACGGAAGACAAGTAATCGCAGGTGTTTACAAAGTGTTCAATGAAACAAAACTAGAATGGATCTAGCGAAACGGGTGGATGGAAGAAGTTATGATTAAATCAGATTAACATCACCAAACGACTTTTGATTATCCGTTGATCCGTGAAAACTCGTGAGGATCAAAGGCTGAGGTACAAAGCAGGAGAACGTCATCAAGATGCGGAGAGCTGATGTCTGACACGCCGACGGTCTAATCAAGTGCTACAAAATCCGATGACTACAGTGTGAAATGGCGACCGTGAGCCGCCATTCAATAAGCTTGTTTGCCATCTTAACATTGTGTTTACGTTTACAGGCGTAAGAGGAGACACCAGCAAACATGCAATCTAAGTGGTTGTTAGAGGCTCATTTGTACGCAAAATTCTCAAAGAGACTCTGTGAAATATCAAATTCAAGGATTCAAATTCATGCTATTGAGCCTGTGGAAACCGACGCGTTCCACAACCCAGGACCTGTGGTTTAAAAGAATAGTATACGGGCTACGCGACTGCACCAGGAACGAGCTTTCGGTTTTGGATGCTAGAATGTACGAACGTTTCTGGGCCTTAGTACTCGAAGTCTTACGGCGAGCACTCTAGCAGTACAGTGTTAATGTCTGCTTCTTGCCCACAGTCTCAATCCCTCGACCCATGCGCCCAGGAAATAAAGATTTCGGAGATCAACTCTTACGTTGCCCTGCATCACAGCGGCCTACTTGCCTGTAGACAAGATGTGAGTAACAACGTCTCGCAACGGTGTACTATGTGTGGCGGCTATTGTGTTCCTTAACCAATATTTCTGTCGTGTCCGATTAGCTTCCGACGAGCGCTATAGAAACCTACTTGAAACTGGAAGAGCTAGCTGAAAAACACCCTTGCCTTGAACTGCTGACAGTTACAGAAAAGTGGGCCAGGCAGTTCTTCAGAGAGTCACGCTAATTGTCACTTCGAACTCGACTCTTAATACGATCACGTTGAGAGACCACTGAATTTTGGCGACCAGAACCGGCTAGTTGCCCCTGACGCGCGGGTCCAGTATTATTACAAACATCTGTTTACCTGGCATTCAGAAGACGGTTGGGTAGCTACCCAGATAAACTATACGGCTGTCGGTTCAAGGTTCCACAGCTGGGTGTACAATAGCTGATCAATGCGTGGCGCTAAAATCGGCAACGCTTGTGTACGGCCATGTTCTCGTTTGTACATGTCTGAAGGCTCAGCAAGCATCTGTACCCGAGGTGTCCCTTGCAGGACACCTTGATGCCGCAAAAATGCGACAAAGCAGCACAGCCGAGATCATGAGCGCATAAATCTGGTCTCTTTTTACGGCTCAACTTGAGGAATTCAGTATCAAAGGATGATCACTGAAGTCATCAATTTATGAAGCAGCTAAGAAAATTATTTAAATGATCCAGTGGTATCGTTCTCACTATGTTGATGGAAGGACCTTCTACTTGCTTGCCTAGAATGCTCAAGTCAGGTACCGCAGCGATAACTCCAAAATCTGGGGTTTTAATGAGGTACTATTGTCACACATTCTGCCCAGCAGCATCACTGCCTGAATTTTCGGAAGGACCCTACATGATTTTTGTTCACCTCTGGTTATCAACAGTCTGTGGCACCATGAGGAAGACAAATTTGCCAGTTTAGACATTAAAACCCGGAATTCCAGTGTTTTCCAGCTGTACCCCAGACCAGTAGTAGATACTAATCGGGATTAAAAACTGTCAACTTGGAGAAGTAGACAGTTTTAAATATCTCGAGCAAGGCTCCAGCAGAATAAAGAGTAAGTATGACATTGTCTACCAAACCGATGCTGCTC